TTATAATGGAAGTTTATGCAAGTGGATGATAGTTGTAAATAAAACAAACGACGAGACATAATAATAAATCAATTAAAAACAAATTTCTCCATAAAAATTATTTTATTTCATCCAATATACATAATGGAAGTCATGCGCATATGATTATATACAATAATTCATTTCATATCAATTATAATACATTAAGAAGAATATTGTCGCCTTTATAATTACAAATCAAAAACAGATTATTGCCAAAGCTTTTACTATATTAATACGCACGAATATAAACTGGCTCTAGTTATGGTTATCACTAAAAGAAGCTTTTGTGGACATTTGTCTATAATATAAGCACGTTATAATGCACGATATTTTGTAAAAAAAAAAATACACAACAATGAAAGTCTGAGATGCCATCAACACACTGGTACCTATAATTTCATTGAACAAGTGGTAGGGGGAAAAAAAATTTTTTTTGGACGATTCAAAAGTTCTTGTAATAGCCTACTTGAATAAAGATATTTCCATTTCATTGCCCCCAGGCTTTAAGTTAAATAAAAATGTCGAGACGCATCACGATGCCGCGGCCATCAAATATGGCGCGCGCGCATCAGTCGAGTAAGCGACTCGCGCGCAAACATGGAACGTTACGATTGGCTAAACTTTTATAGCGCCATTCAAAAATGAAACATCTGCGCAGGCCCGTTGGTGTAACATATAAACATGATTCTATTGCGCTTCTAAAATTTCTCTTATATTATATAATAGCCTCTTTCTATAGATAGTGACTGTTACATATTTGAATAACATTAGTATTTCATTATTTTAATATTAATAAAATTTTAATTAAAAACTGAAAGGAATGATTTAGTTTATTGTTTTCATTAAACTATTACAATTAATAAATATAAAATACTAATTTAGTTAATTTTTTTTTCAAACACGTATGACTTTATCTAATTAATTGAGCATTAATAAAAACATATTTCATAGTTACTAAGGAAAATTCAATATTTTTGAACTTTAATTATAAAACTTTAAATATTCTTTGAGACATAATTCAGGAAGCATAAGATTTGTATAAAAATACGTATACATCATTACAATTATCATGGAACGACCAATTCAATCAATAGCTCGATACCTGTCAAACAAATGCCTTCTTTTTTCAACAAAATTGTAGAAAGGCAACATAAAACTTGAAGATGTTTTGTTTGATAGTTCGTTACACGATCGACACATTATGTAGAAAACAATTGAGCATATTCTTGATAAAAAATGTATATATATTGTTACATAATAGAACATTTACAATCTACGTAACAGGAGTCGAATATCTAATAATTATATTAAACATTTATACAAAAGCACGTCATATCGGGTACTAATAATTTAAAGCTTCCGTTACATAACTTCACATGAATTAGTTTATATATCACTTTTAATCCTAAAATATTAACCTGCTGCAGTTATGGACAAAGTATAATCATGTTTGTTATTAAAAAAAACAGACTATTACTATTTGTAGACTAAAAACTGTATTCAAATTGTATTTATTGCAATAAACATTGAAATTGTACACAATTTTAATTCAGCACCATTTTACATACAAAACAAATACTATTCCTGTCCAATATATAGTCATAATGAACTTGAAATCAAAAAACTAAGTATTTATTCGGGTACGCCTAAATACAAAAGCATACCAACGTATAAAATATGACGTGCGGGAAAAACGGGATTGGGGGTTTTATTTTGTATAAAAACCATAAAATCATATTTTAACGAATGTATCAATTTGATTATTAAATATTTCTAGTTATCCGGGGATGATGTATAATATTCAAGTTCAGAATGTAAATAGCGGATAAACTCATTAAAGTAATATACCTTGTGTATTTAGTGACATCACTATTTCTTTAATATCATTTCATTTGTTTTTCACTTATTTTGCAAAGATACTTCTAATTAATACTCTCCTAATTCGAAATCCGACGTCTATATATGTAAAACAGCTAACAGACTTTCGTCCTTTGCATTTTCATGTTCATATATTGTATGTATAAATACAAAGTACTATAACACCTAACTACTTCGTGTACCTACATAATTATGTAAACTGGACGTTAATTTAACAGCTCCGATAGTCAGTCACGAAAACCCGTTACGAGTCACTAGTATTGATATAATTTACACAAAAGCTTATAATGACTACTTCATATACATTTTAGATATTATTTTGGGATAATAACAGCCTCCCTTGAAATGGTACATATATTTTTGTTTTAAAATATTAAAAGCCGAGTGATATTAGTCGTTTCTTTTTTTAAATCGACTGAGTTCTCCACCTACAAGACAAAAATTAGGTATATGCTTTAGCTCATATTTTATTTTGGTGTCCACGCTTTATTTTATTGTAACTATTGTATTGTGTGAAAATTTCGAATTAATGTAACTTGCATGACAATACTTGTTTCTTTTATTTGTGTTAACACTATGTCACAATATAATGTAGAAATGAAATTTTCTTTTCTTACAAATATTCCCGGTACGCATCACATAATAATATCTAAACGAATTCTGAATAAGTTCTAATAAACTTATTATTTAAACAATGTCACGTGACAATATTTAATGGGCACATCAACTATTCAGTAATAAAAAATATATATATCGCCACCAATTAGAATATACCTGATTTACTTTTAATTGTCTATCTAAAATTCAATTATATGTCTCCAGTTATAAAAACAATATTTTAAAATCTAATCTTCACACAACACATCTATCTAAAAAACAATGTACTCTTAGCACGCTATATCTATATAATATATGTACTAAGATATAATTTAGGACACAATATGCAGCACCATAGTTTAGCGTCCTTATATCTCAACGCACCGTACGCATCTATCAGCACTAAATAATACGTTGTATGATTTATTAATGAGCATTAAGTTCCAACATATATTACCAATCGAAATAGAACAGTCCATGATTCTTAAACTGCTACTAGAGCATTAGCAGTAATAAAACTAACATACAATAGTTAATTAAGCCTTGTTGCTTTGTAGATTGTATCAATTAATTTCTTAGTTTGATCATTCCATCGATTTATTGCTTGTGAACATGTCTTTATAACAACTAAGTGGTGTCGATTAATAATATTGAATAATGATGAAGACTAATTTTTGTTCGTTTGTCCGTCAGGTAGAGTGTTAAAAAATATTAAACACGTATTTTTTTATTTTTTTTCGTAATCATAAAATAACGGCGATACATGGAATTGAAATTTCGCATGACGTCACGTTAGGGTACGTTTCCTACTTAACTGTGACGTAGCGAGCCCCCACTCCTCAACTTTAATGCCTGTTATCTAAGCTATTTCTTGTTAAATTGAAGCAAAAATAAAAGCGTATTTAGTATTTTTCTATTATCTAACTGACGGACTAAATAAAATTGCATTTTTCATCCCTATTGCGGACACACTAGACAAATACCTTTTTGTCCGCGCGACTTTAAAAAGCTTTAAACGCAGTGAGCACTGGCACTTACGACGTTATACATATTTCAATGAGGAAGTATTTAAAATGAAACGAAAGCACTAAAAGCACCTCCACTAGATGGCGACTCTAGCAAAAGTAGATTTTTACAGGAAACGAATGGATAAAAGACAGTCATTTCCGTTCCTATTAACTAACATATTAAAAAACTGAAATTTGAAAAGTTCGAAACTTAGATATCAATACAAATACGAAAAAATACAAATAGAATATGAGTTGTTTATTGAGTTTTGAAAACTAATTTACTTTTAAACATGAAAGGATGGAGAAATCAAGAACGTACCGTGGCGACATCTAGTTAGATTTCGGGAACTAATACTTCCTCACTGCAAAGATACATAACATCTTTACCCAGGCCGTAAATATACAAACTATCAATTAATATAGATACACGACACCACTTCCGGTGAAATTTTAATAATGCAAGCATCTAATATATTATTAAAAACGGCAAATATACGGTATAAATTCACAACCGTTTACGACGAAATAAAAATAAAATAATGACGCATTTACGACTCGTGTATTGTAAAACGATCGCGGAGCGGCCAACCATAAACTAATGATCACAATTCATTGTATTCATAAGACATTTTTTTAATTTCTACGTAACCTTGAATATTATCGCATAGGTTTATAAAAAGATATGTAACATTATTACTTATATACATATACTTCTAACAGTATTTTGTCTCACATTATAAAGTTATATAACTTGTAGTACCACAAAAATATATTATATTTTAACCTATCATAAGCACCAATATAATGAGACTCGTTTGCACTACATTTACGTGCCAAACTATTCTTCAATCGACCATAAACGATCAACCGACTGACTGACGCGAACTTAATCTGCGCGTACACATAACGTTTTTACTGCAGAAATACTTCGTAATAAATATATATGATATTTTTGTGATACTAGAGTACTATTCATTATTTTTGTGGACTTATATGAATCCGTGTTATACCCACAAATTACACAGTGGACATCTATGTATTCTAAATTTATAGCACAGTTTAGGATGCACAACTTTATACATATTGTCATATTTTCTTTATAAAAAGATCTCAAACATTTTCTAGTCAAATCAAATGTGCTGTGACAGCCGTCGTCGAAGATTGTCCGCTCACAAACTAAGAACCGATCATTATTTAATAGAAAGGTGCAAGTCGGTTGTAATATTTATCGTTAAAAGAGATTAGGAAAATTCGTTTTTGTAACTCCTCAAACCAATTATAAGTATAAAACTTTAGATTTTATTTACAAGGATAATAAATCGATATTTCACGTCACACCTCTAGTGTTTTGAAACGGCCATCACAGAGCACCACCACTTTAGTGTAGTCACATAATCTGTAATATCGTTTAGGGCTTAATCGGGTCGGTCGAAGGGCAGACATATGTTAGAGTGTGATCCGTCGGTGGACTAGTCCGGTTCGACGGTTCCGCCGCTAGGAACCGGGAGGGGGAGGCGCGCGCGGGGCGGGAGAGGGGGAAGCGGAGTGGGAGGGGGGCGGCGGAGGGGGGGCGAGGCGCGCCAGCGAGTAGCTCTCCGGCTGGAACGTGGGCGGGCACTGCAGGTGCGGGTACTGACATGTAAATAGACAGACGGCACAATCAACAATACACACTCGCAAGGGAACCCTTCGGTCGTATTCAAAATAAAACACTTTAGACAGATAAGTATAGAAATACGAATAACAGCTTCTCAGATCGTGCTAAGTTTAATGTTTAACGTCACATAAACAGGTTTTCATTGTGGCAATTTTAACGTAATACATAAATATTAAGTTTGAATATATAACAAATTTTCTATGGTGAAAGACCGCTTCTTGATCGTGGTCGACATTCAGTAATCAAAAATCAGCAACGCGTAATTCTGGGTGCAATGGCGTTTTCGACAATTTATAATTCTATTGATATAACCAATAATACGAGCTTTCCACCCTCCTGCATATGAACAAAGTAGCGCTAAGTATCATACCATAGGTTTCACAAAATAGGCTATACAAGGTATTCGCTTGTTAAGTAATTAATAATAATAATTAGTATAAACAGAAAGTGTACCTGCGGGGGGTCCCGCGCCGCCGCGCCGAACACCAGCCGCAGCCGCGACACGCCGCCCCCCGCCCCCGCCCCCGCCCCCGCCCCCGGCCCCGACCAGCTGTTCCAAGATAAATAAATATCACCTTCCCAGAGTCGAGAAAGATATCGCTCGAGAAAAAGCGAAACATGAAATTTTACAAATACAATGTGTTTGTGCTGCACTAAGTTATATGTATTTTCCCATTTGTTCTCCTTTAGCATGAAGGCCAGTCGCGTTTGAATTCAGCTCGAGTTGTTACATGTGAGGATCGGATTCTATTGTCATTGAATAGGAGGAAAATAAATTCTAGCAGAATTTTCCTTAGCCTTCCTCTAGACTTTAAGTTTAGTTAGATTCGAACTATGGGTATATAGAACATCGGTTGTCGGTTGGTTGCTTGAAAATTTTTAAATCGGTCACTCTAAACTGAAAGTCATACTGCTTTTACAATAAGAAAATTATACAAATAAAGAAACCATCGGTCATCCGTATTTTATACAAATATGTAATATACAAACGAACTTCAGTAATATTGTTTTGTAATTTTAAAATATATTTCTATTAAATATAAAGTATACCTGGTTCCTGTGGATGTGATGGGCGCTGCCGGTTTGTGTTGCGCGCTGTGAACCTGCAACCGCGTAACGTACACATCATAATGTGCTTTATGATGAAACATTTTCCGTCGACGAAATGAAGCCTTTCATGAACCTTGATCGACTAGTTAATTTTAAATGTTGTTAACGTATGCAACTACGTCAACGGTATAAACGTTGGACGAAGTTAAACGATTTAATGGTTAACTTAAACCGTATATCAATATTGATAAGTTAAAATTATTCAACTATAACAACTGGTGATGGGTTTTTTTTCGTGTTCACGTAGAAATACCTATTATCAGGTATGTTATGGTTTTATTTTGTATATACATATGTGTTTATGATGGTACAAACTTGACAGTTTCATGCTTTTTTTTTTCTTATTGACAAAAGATAGCGCTAATATTCTAATTAGATGTTTTTGAGGGTTACGTAATCAAAGGGTAAAACGAAACCCTATTATTAAGTCAGTGTCCGTCCGTCTATCTGTCACCTGGATCTCATGAGCCTTGATAGATGGTTCAATTTTTCGAATGAGATGCATTTATGTTGCCAATAAATGTGTTTGTTTTGCTCAATACCGATAATTGAAACAGGTAGAAAGTTAAAATAGTTACAGCAGATTTAGATGTAAAGGTATATTCATTTTAAATTGATTAATTTAAATCATATGAAACAAATATTCAAGTAGGTTCCCATACAAATACAACAGACTTCGTTTATTTTACACTTGGCTGTTTATTTAAATATACTCTTAAATGAAATATTATTTTTTTTATTTAATCCTAAAGGGTAACTTAATGAAACACCTCATAATTCGTATGAAAAAAAAATACACAAAGATAAGTTTTATTGTAGAAATAGTTAACTCATACTAACTGGTAAAATTCTTAACACCGCTATGTCAACAACCGTATAACACCATTGTACTAGCTAACGTACTAACTAAGAGGACTAACGTAAACAATAAGCATGTTTAATATTTATTTAAATAAGGCTTATGTATTTGGACACGCATGTTCAAATATATACTTACTTCCGTTGACTTTAGAGTTTAAATTATTTCAGCTGTCAAAGTTACATCAAAACTTTATGCACGGAACACCATTGTATTAAACTGATAAAATTATGCGTTGCACTTTCGTAACATATTGATAGACGAACGGTGCGTTCTGCGTTTAGCCGTCGATTTTTAACTAGTTGACCAAAGAACTGATAATTGTCGACGCGTTTATTTTACGTCAACGTCAACGATCTAATGCTAGTGAAGTGAACTATCTGCACGATAATAGTGTTGGGAAGTGGCCGTAGTGACATGAATTGTGGAGTTAAAGTTTTATTTATTTATTTTTTATTAAATAAATAAAATCGGATTGTGAATTTAATTGGCATACAAATTTTTATCCCGAACCTGTTATGTAGGTAGATGAATAAGCATCCTGAATGTCGGGTTTGTTTGTTACCGACTCAATCCCTTTGTCTCGCAATACTTATAACGAATAGACGCTTTTTATTTCGCTCCTCCAGCATATACTAGTCGTAATAATAATATTGCAATTCTTGTTGTATTGATTTTTTTCGACAAATTTCATTATTTACGCTTACGAACCTTTTCATTGTAAAAACCACAAGATAGAGGTCTGGAACTAGGATTTTCGTCGCTCATCCCTACTGATAGACCGCTGTTCCAAAAAAAGTGCAATACTTGGCTGGTAAAATAATCAGAGGCAAGTGTTCTTAACACATATCTACATATTGCATCATTTTATAATTTGTTCTTATTGCATACTCTTTGGTTTGCCTATTTTCGATAACATGAGATTAGTTTAAATTTTTTATAATTGTTTTATGACAACTAAAGGTAAAAATAATGGTTCTAAATGATATAACCTTGTGGTTCCTGCGCAATGAATCCCGCCATCGTTCGTGCGGAGCCTCGCTAGTGCTCATCTCCCGTACCGGACTGTCCTCGGCGTTACATGATCTGTCGCGACTGAAAACACAATAACATTCAAATGTTTCTCAACACATGACATTATATATACGTGTACATGCCAACAGCTTGTATAAACGTCTAATAGTTATTTAAGATACGAGTGCGGAAAGTAAGTTTTTAAAAACCTTTTACGCTCAAGTTTCTTACAACATTTTTCAATGCTTTTTGCGAGAAAATAAAACAAATGTATAGGTTAATAAAACTAAGTATGTATTAAAGGTAAAAATTATTTGTTAAAATTAAACGTGATATTTGAACATGTTTTCGTGTCATACATTTTTATTTGAAAATATTCGTTCTAGGCTCCTTGAAATACTTGTGCCTCTAAAGTTTGACATATTTTATAAAAAAAAATAAAAAAAAATACTTTTAAGCATGTCTGCAGTAAGGGATTTCAGTACATTATTATTTAACACGTGTTTAAAGACTCACTTTCGGTGTTTACAATGGATTAAAGATTAAAATAGCGCTTTATGAGCAAATGAATTGAAAAATATTAAAAGCCATCTAAATGTTTTGCACGCCAGCACACAAGGTACGAAGTCCCTGGCTATCAAGATTTTACCTACGCGCGTACGCGTACAGAATACTAGCTTTCCGTCCGTGTTCAGCTGGAATTTATACCTAGTACTCTAGTACAAATATTTATTAATTTCCTATCCAGTACCTAAACACAAAGCTTTGAGGTCTCTATTTTCGACGATGACAACACTTCATTCAAATTTTTATTCTTTATTTTAACCTTTTAAAGTCCTTCTTGACCATAACTATTTTGTCTTTTTCCCAGGTTCAGTCTATGTACCAAATTTTATCAAAATTGGTTCAGTGATACATATTTGATTTTTATTGCGCGATGGGAAATATAAAAATATTGATCGTCCGGACAAGGTCGGGTCCCAACACTAGGAGATATAAAACATAATATTCATACTAATATTATAAAGAGGTAAAATTTCTAAGTTCGTTTCGAGGGGGTAGGGTAAACTTCAGAAATGCCATCATACCATGAAAACTCTATATGCACCTACGTAAAGGTACATACTACGCGGATGATGGGCTATAATTAAAGTAAGCAAAGGTGAATATGTGTAACATATAAACGTGTATAGAGTACAGTGTACAGTGTAGAATACCGTGTACAGTGTAGAGTGTAGAGTACAGTGTACGGTGTACAGTGTATAGTGTATAGCGTACCTGTGCGCGGCGGGGGCGGCGGGGGCGGCGGGGGCGGCGGGGGCGGCGGGCCGCGGGCCGCTGCGCGCGCGCACGCCCTGCACCACGCGCTCGCGGTACATCTGCACACCAATACCAACCGGTTACCACCAGACCAGTTTCACATTGTCCTATCCACCTGGGGCTGTTGTCTCGACAGAGCTTACGGTCGTTGAATGGCGATCGCAGAGTTCATCGACCGAACTGTCCAACTCGAACGCTAGGAAACTAATGTATATGACTGATTTGACGGAGAGCCTTGCATCAGTTGTTCAATTACGATCGCTGAGAGTTAGCGACTGAATTTGGTAAGGTCGCAATCGCAATTTCTGTCGAAACTGCAGGTCTGATATCCAATATTATTATTATTATGTCTGTCCCCGTTGATTCGTGAAGAAGACGTATCAGCGATAATATTAAACTTCAGAACCTCGACTTTTATTGAGATGCGACTGTCCTGCGCAAACTTCAGCAGAATCGGCCCGCCGGGCGGGACTCCTCGGGTATGATGTTAATTCGTGCGAGTCACGTGTACCTGCCGGCGCGTGTCCTCCTGCTCGGCCAGCATGAACTGCTCCAGCGTGAGGTGGGGGCGGGGCGAGGGCGCGGGGGCGGGGGCGGGGGCCAGCTCGGGGCTGGACGCGTGCGCGGGGGTGGCCGCCCCCGCCCCCACGCCCGCCCCCGCCCCCGCGCGCCGGTAGCTGCGGTACTGCTCGGTCGGCACCGGCCCGGGATGTTTTATCTGACATCAGATAATAAGTACATTATATTATGTATTATCTAGAACGATCTACGACGGAACAAATTTTTTTTTCTTGCTTAAGTATCGTCAATAGAACGTAATAAACTAAAAAATATATTTTATCTACACCTCTCTAGGACATTTAGATAAGAAATGGTCACCGCTCGCCTGAAATATTGTCGACTATAGTGGATATTATTTTACTGAAAATTAATTATCTTCTTGAATGTCGTTACCGCAACCTATTGACGGTTAAAATTTAAATAATGTTTTGCTTACACGAGAAGGCTTATTTACCCAAATTGATACTTTTTCGTTTTTGATTAAAGTAAAACACTTTTAAAAGTTGTCTCTCTCCTGCACTCTCCCATTTAATACTAGGTGAATGATTTACGTGGAAATATGTGATATAATACTAATGACCGGCAAGTATGTATCATATCAGTTGAGAGATAAGTAAACATGAAAAGGCACCAAGAAAAAGGAAAGGATAATCTATTTCCATTTTGTAAATCCAATTAATGCAGAGTTGTGCAATAAAGAAAGTTTATTTGACGATCATAAAATAGAGATTTTGATGCCTCCATATTTTGCTTCAAATTCAATATCGAAAATATACTGCATTTAAATCACATTTAGAAACATTTTTTATGAAACCATTTTTATATCTGAGATATGTTAATGGGTTAAGATGGTAAAACAAAATATGTTACTCAGGATGACGAGATAATATAGTGATACCCAATGATATTACAATAAGAAAGAGTAGTTAGGTTACTTGAATTCAAAAAGTGTCACCTTAAAACTTGTACGAGCAAGCGCGTACAATGTCTTGTCAGCATTTACACCGCTTGACCCAAATTAGTTCAGCCGTCATTATAATTACTTAAATATCATAAATTCAGTTCGTAACCAGCCACCAAGAGGGCAACGCGAAGTCATACATTAAATGATACATTCATACGTTAGTTAGTGTTAATAGTTGTTTCCAAATAAACAGTTTTTATCCAATCAAATATTATCATTTACCAAATTATTTCGATATAATCCGAAAAAACTATTCTAATTAACAAAATTAACATACCTGATCGCAGTCTGGCGAAAACGTTGATTGTGTGCTTTTATGTACCATAGTCGTATTAAAAATGCTATCATGTGTTATGCGAAACTGTAAATACAATATAAGTCATCTAACAACCGAGGGATCGCATTTCATTAGTACATTTTTAATTTCCGTTTTAATCAGAAAAATAAATAATGTGTCATAAAAAGAAATAGTGATATTGAATAAAATCTGTCAAAGATTATGTAAGTCACTGAACGCACTATAAATGTAGTATTTATTTGGTAATCTATGTGATATTGAAACTCCGAAACTCCGGGTTTGAATTCGGATCACCAAAACCTAACTCCGGAGCCAAAAAATACTCCGATTCCGATTTCAATTAAAACCTTTGTGTTATTATCAGTAGTCGGAATTAGGTAGAGTTATTCATGTACTTACACTGATTTCATACAGCGAAAGAATAAAGTGGATATGCCTTAAATCCCGAGATTAATTTTAAAGAGCAGAAAAATCCCATGATTTTTTAAACAAAAAGTTATTTACTTTTACACAATTTAAACTACTGCACGCACGACGTTGCCAAACTTACATCAATGAAAGAAATAAATAAAGAAAGAAGAAATAAAGAAATCCCGGGAAGGTCCACATTAATATCAACATTTCGATGCAAGTACAAAAATAACTCTACCTAATTCCGACCTCTGGTTATTATACATGTTATATATCAGTGTCAGGTTTATTTTATCGCTTGAAAAGTTTCATTATTTATACATGGGCAAATAATATATTATGCACTAACGACAAGGAGAAATTATAGTATTAGACATCAACATTTTAATGTTGAACTGTCGATCGTAGTTTTTTAACTCTTTTAGGTAAAAGTAGGCATTAAATCGTTTTACGTCAGCTCTGTGACATGTTCAATTTATAGTTTATGAATAATCGAAGAGTATCATGCCATGTGCGTGTGTACACGTTGGGTATAAGTTTTGACATCGTATTAGTACTGACATGAGCTATCTACCCTATTTTATTGTAATATCATCGGTGATACCCTATTAATAAATTCAAAACTCAACTAAACACTTTATAAAATCACTTACCTTACTAGGTTTAGGCTCATCCTTATTCTTATTCCTGGAGAAGAACCTCAAATACTTCCGGTCGAGGCTGGTGGAGTGGGCGACGTTCTCCGTGGACTCGCTGCGCTGCATCCGCACCGTCAGTTTCTTCAACGACCCGAACTTGGACTTGTCTTTGTCCCTCTCCCTCTCCCTCTCGTCGCGCGTCTCTCGTTCGCGACGCTCCGAGCTCTCGTCGTCAGATTCGGTGTCAGAATAATCGGTCTCGGAGAACTGCTGCGATAGGTCTAGCTGCGGAGCAGACGAGTCGATTGCATAACAACGAAGTCTCTTTTGACTATCAACTATCGACCGCCAGGCGCGGGTATACCTGCGCGTGCGCGGGGCAGTGGGCGGCGGCGGTGGCGGCGAGGGCGCGGATCCAGGCGCGCATGTCGTCGGCGCAGTCGGCGGCGAAGTAGAAGGCGGTGCCGGTGTGGTACACCTTGAACGCGTGCGCGCGCGACTTCACCTCCGCGGCCGCGCACGCCGTGAACCCCTCCAGCCGGATCATGCAGTCCGCGCGCGACCCCTGCGCCACACTCACACTTGTACTTTGCGAGGAACCGAGGTTCCCGACTAACGAGAGAGAATCTATAGCGAGTTGTCAAAGTTTGGGTTCGGTGTGCCCCAGGGTTCACAGCTCGGGCCTCTATTTTTTTTTTGTCTTACCGATGATCTCTGCCCTGATATTTTATCTCGATATTAAATTTTTGCTAGTAGTCTTACATTCAGCACTCTCCACTTTTTAGAACGAGCGCTTCCCACGACTTAATTCGTCAAAATTAAGATATATTAGTACATAATATATCAACTTTAAATATTTAACGCGAAAAATTAACATTTTCTTAAATATGAAGAATATAAGTTAATTGTGTATAATGTAACAAACATATGCTAGCCCTTAATTGTGAATTATGCATGCTGTGTTCATTTATTAAAGGTTTTACATATAATTGTTAAAAAACAAAAGCCCCGACGCCGTCTCTGACGCCCAGCACAGACAATCTTCCCGAATATGATTTAACATTTCCACCCGCCCCCCGGTACCTGCGCGGAGCGGTACGCGTACAGCGCGGAGTGCGCCAGCAGCAGGTGGCGGCGCGCCCACCGCGGCTGCTGCGCCCCCCGCGCCCGCACGCGCTGCCACGCCGCCCCCACGCGCGTCGCCCCGCCCCCGCCCACCGCCCCCACACCGCCCCCACCCACCGCCTCCAGCAGGCTCGGCATCGGGATGCAGCGCCGCTCTGGGCCCGACATCGACAACAACACTCAGCATACGAACTCTTTGCAAAACATTATGGCTTCCTATAGTCTATTTAATTGTTATTTATATGTTCCCATAATAAATAAAGAAAATAAAACAAAAATTATTCCTCCTCCGATCACGAACGGATCGATGCATTCCCCGGCGCCGAACGGTACGATCTCTTCCGCGGTCGTCGCCGCGGATATAAATCTAGTTCCGAGTGCGACCGGATTAGCCCGGTTTCGTCGCAAACTTTCAACGGAACAAATCATCGGAGCGCGTCGATGACGAAAAATTTGGGAGTCGGTGTGTTGAGGTGATCTAGTGAGATAAAATATTCATACAGCGGTGTACGAAATCGAACTGTCGCCCCGCCCGCGTCCCGAATCAGATTCCATGACATCTCTCCGAAGATCCGCGACGATCCCGTTTGGACCTTTCCTATTTTACTTGTACGGTTGACCGAGAAGGGCTCCTGCGAATAATTTTATGTCGCTTTTGGAAGAAGTGATATGTATCGTATATCCTGCAGCAGAATTCCCACATAAGGAGTGTATTCAGGATGATGTTCCGATACACGTTACGTGGTCTGGTTTGAAACCATTTAAAAATCTGTGAGGCACAACGGTTCAACGTCGGGACAATCGAAACGAAAGAAATCGTGCACAATCTTGGACGGATATCGGAGGCAACGGTTGATGCGCGCGCCTTGTCCCATATATGCGCGACGGCCTACGTGCCATCATTGTTGCTAGTGGTGGCTGTACCGAATATTAAGTTAATAAAGCGAGTCAATCAATTCTCCAAAAATAGCTTTGAAATTTTGTTGGCTTGAAGTTTCTCTTCTTGAAATTCTGTATTTATATTCGTGGATAAAGTATAAAACCTCCATAATCACTCTCTGAAATAATTTAATTTCCAGCTCTAAATTTCATACCAATTAATAGAGAAATAAAAAATTAAAACTAACGTTTAAGTCTCATATCGACCTTGTGGTACAGATATGTGTATGCAATTATAAATCTTAAGGCAGTAAACATTGTTAAACCGCGCGCTTAGCTCTTTAACAGTATCTTTAATACGTTTCATTTCAAAAACTTTTGATATTTTTTGAACACGCAGAAAATCGAATACATCCGACATATTTATCATAGATGACCTTTATACACTTGAATATTTAGTTATTTACCACATAATAAAAACTACACTTGCTACACTAAATAATAAAGTTTATATTTAATAATAATATTATTTATTTTATACACTTTGCAATATAAAAACTCGCACGTCAAAATCGTACACCGGATAGGAGACGTGCTGGCTTCATTCATATCAGTTTATTTAAATTTTACATGTAGAAACTTATTTATTCACTTGACATTGGCAGAATTGTGTGGATTGCGCAGATAGGTCATCAATAAAAAAAGAAGATCAAAATTACGCCGCCGACATTAGAGAGAAATTGTAGTTAAGAAATGAAAACTGAAGATGTTTTTGCCTCATCACAATTTCTTTAAATAGATGAACGGTCACTCACTTGCTAGAATAGAATTCTTCTTCTTCAAGCTTCTAGACTTGGAAGTGGGGAAGATACTCTTGACGACCGCCGTGGAGGGGGACAGCGCGACCGCCCTGCCCTCCTCCGGCGCCGCGGGGGCGTCGCGGGGCGCCGGCCGGGGCTCCGCGGGGGGCTGCGGTGGCTCCAACTCCAGGTTGATGGGGGGCAGCTCGCGCCTCTCGCTCGCTATCACCATGATGTCGTGCTTCGTTATGTGCCGGAGAGGAAGGGATATCTAGACGAGATCAATATTTTATACGTGACAAAAGATTGTCTTCAAGTAAAAGTGTGTAACAGAGGGGGGGAGGGGGGCGTACCTGAGAGGTGTCGAGCGTGCGGGTGAGGCGCGGGGCGGGAGGGGAGGGGGGCCGCGGCACGGCACGCAGCACCGGCAGGCCGTTATTTATGTCCTGCCTACAAATTAACAATGAATTATATTTGTCTCAGCCTCGGCGACTAAACCCGATATGATCGCGTCCTCGAAACACGAGAACCGGTCGTGTTCTCAACGAAAACGAATATATTTCGTTTATTGAAATGTGACGTCACGCGATATTCGGTCAAAACCGATCGTTTCTTTAATGTTCTTAAATCCACAGATTATAAATCGCAAAGGAAACTTGGCAAAAATATCCTTTGTGGTTATAGTTTACATATGTTACCATTTCCAACATATGTCGTTACCGGTTGTTTTAAAATAAAAAATGGAGGGGATAGCCACCAAGAATATTCGGAATACGAATGCTGTCCACGAGCATATCGTTTAATTTCAAACCTGTTTTAATTTCACCTGTGTGTGGGGATGTCGCGTTCCCGTGGGGGCGACGTCGGGGGCGGGGGCGACGTGGGGGGCGAAGGCGGGGGCGGCGGGGCGCGGGGGCGGCGCGCCACCTGCAGGTTGACGGCCTCCAGCACGCGGTCCAGGTCGCGGCGCTGCTGCTGCAGGATCGCCTCGCCTATCTCGCTACTCGACTTCTTGAACTCCAGGATCTGGTCCGCCTTCTCCGCCGAGTGCACCAGAATCGTCGGGCTACCGATGTGATTTCAACGTTCAGAACGTACTAGTCGCCGGTCGATCGACGCACGTTTCGGACACGACGGGGAAGGAGAGTTCGAGAACGAGAGCGAACGAAGCGGTGACGTAAATATCACAGGAGCAGAACGAGAACGACACAAAGTTCAAAAGGTTCCGGACGGGAATCGAACAAGAACGATGAGGAAGTCGGAAAGAAGCAGAACGGGAACTGACCGAGTGCAGAGTGGAGACGGGGGATAGCGCGGGGGAGAAGTCTCGCGCTGCGTCGCCGTCGCGTTCTCGAACATCGACGGAAAACAAATGCGAGCGACATAAAAACGAGTTAAACAGAACGAAATTTATACTTACTAATATTACAAAGAGGAAAGATTTGATCGTTTGTTTGTTTGCAACGAAAAGGCTTCGAAAGTACTCTTTCATCTATGGGAAACTACAACATATGTGGTGAACATAATAGTAAAATAGCAAACAAAGAGATAAAAATGGGAGTGAAATTTTGTATGGAGAATTATAACGTTGCCATAGTAACCATTCCATATTCAATTTGGCACTGTAATTATATCCATGTCACGGGCGATGCCGTTGACGGTAAGCCAGTCAACAACGGGAAAAAAAGAGTGGAACGAAACGGACGGCAGTTCATTACGTTTCCCTCCCTCTAAGTATCCGTGGAAGACGTAAATCTCCCCCCGGATAGGATACTCGCGTACCTGTCGGCGGGCGTGGAGGTGGTGGTGGGGGACTCCGGGATGACTTGCGCGCGCAGCTCGGCGGCGGCGGCGGCGCTAGTGTCGCACTCGTACGCGGGCGTGGAGTGGCTCTTGTCGAGGCGGCCGCGCGCGGGGGCGGGGGCGGGGGCGGGCGCGGGGGCCGGGGGCGGGGTGTCGGGCGGGGGCGGGGCGGAGGGGCGCGGGCCGCACGTGCGCGGCCGCGGGGACAGCTCCAGCCCGGTGCTGCACGACACCGCCTGCCACACCACACACCAGGGATAATCCCTAACCGCCATTTAGGTGACGTAATTGCGCTCAACCTTCGGTACCGGTAACGAAGAAACACTGGTCGACGAGTACACTTATCGGATTGCGTTTTTGAGATCACACAAAATTTTTGGTGTCTTTGTTTTTTTTCGAAGACTTTGTTATTGTTTAATCATTACTCGGTATGGTGGACTGAAATAGCAACTGCTATTATGATTTTCACGAGTAAACCTAATTTCATTAAAAATAATTTTATCTAATGTCTCTTATTTAATTATTACTTTTAGCTATGGTTTAAAAGATTGTTCGTTCCGTTTGTTTTCACGTTATTACAAAGTTAATGTTGTCACACTGACTTTTATAAAAAAAAAATCATATGTACGGTCAACAGCTGATCAAGGTACTTGCAGTTCAATATTAGCGCAAAGTTCTAAGTGAAACAGTCTGACATGCTGTTGTCTGTAATTATGTAGGGTCATAATGTCCAGGTTTTTTTTTTAAAGGGTTTCACGTTTATCCTTTTTTTGCATTATTTGTGGAAATTAAGTCATAGTTTTTTTAATTTGTTTTGAAGCTTTTTACTTTCATTTTTTTATTATATTGTGTCGGGGTCCTTTAAATTTTTAACTTAACTGTTTATTTTTTCATGCTTTTTATAGAGTCCTTCATTTTTTATTAATTTTCTTGCCAGTTACAATAAAGTTAATTAGGTGATTATCTTTTTCTAGTTCTTTTTTTAGTTTTTCTACTTTCGTACGAGTATTTCATAGTTATTTATCTTAGGTATATCAGATCTAGTTTATAAAATGGAACTCAATTCTATTAAAATAGCAATCGAGGCGAGAGTGAATTTAAAGGTATCTGAAGGGCTAGTTAATGGTAGCATGAGGATTATAAAAAAATCGAATGGAATGGACTTCACCGAGACCAACTCGAACCAGCGAACTTCCAAAAACAGTATTTATTAAATTTGATTTATACAGACAAACAGACACGTCGAACTTTGATCACCCTGCCGTTTTTGCGTCGGGGGTTAAAAATACAGCACGTCGCGTGTCCACCTTGTTCCCGCTCGGCGGCGGGCGGGCGCGCCAATGTGGCCGAATCGCCCGATGGTTCGCCCGTTTGCCCCGCTTCGAAAACTAACCATCCGTCCGGGTCTATCGATGGGCATATACATATACGTACGGAGGACGTTCGATTACAGGAAAAAAGAAGACAAAAGTCACAATGGAGAGTAGATCAATAGAAACGATTGGATTTATTACATATAACCCTGTTATATAAATCTGTTAAACGGTCTGTGGATGCTATTCGATGTATGTATGAAGTCGCGGACTGCAAGAGACGTGGTTACTTCACTGGGACATTCCATTTCAGGACACGATACACAAAGTCTTTGGATATTCTGGCGAGTCTGCTATGGATGCTGAGGTTGGAGCTCTAAGAGGCAGGTAGTATGGAAGGGGTCGTAATATTATGAGGAATTACCCGTGTATTGCAACTGAATAACTGTAAGTAACATATCGTCTGTAGTTGTTAGTGTTTATATGCCTACATACTAATGACATTTTGCCTTTGTGAGATAGGCTCGTTTGTTGAAGATATAGATATTTTTGATGATTTTAATACACATCCAAATGAACTTTTTTGTAAAGAATTTTAAATGATTTTCGGATCAAAATTGGATTTGTGCAGATATTGCTAGATTGGGAATAAGTTCTGATTCATTGACATATTTAAGTGATATTCATGGGTTTAGAAGGTGATTAGACCATTGTTTTGTGACCCAATCTGATTTGATTACTGTCAAAAATGTTTACATATATAGTGTTAGCTAGTCAAATTACTTTTCTCTCATAGTAGATTATTACAATCTACTATGTTAATGTTATGAAATCCAAAATATTGATAAGTCATATTTATTGCAAAACAAAATTATGCGAGGAACGAGACAACTAAATCAAATACATGAATACTGGCATCAGTGCCACATGGGCTTAAAATAAATATATTTTCCATGTAAATTTTGAATTTGTGGTGAACGCTTTTGTAATGATGTGCATCAGGGTGAGGTATACACAGAGGACGCTATTGGCATTAAAAGTGCAATATAATAATGCCTTCAGGGTATTGTCGGGGAAGCCTCGCTTCTGTAGCGCTTCTAGCTGAAACCAATACCGATGGATTTGCCGCTGTCGTGCGCAAAGAAACAGCTTCATTATTAGACAGAGTGCGTGTCAGTAACAACATTATCCTGGATACTATCGGTCAGTCGCACAAACGTCCATTAATGTTTAATGACGACTTTAAGTTCTAATGAATGTTCTTTATATTTGTATTGTGGGTATTGTGGCATTAAACCAATGATAAATTTAATGATCATTTGTGCTACGGGCTATATATCAGATAAATATGATTGTCCTATAATAAGAAATTTTATAAAAAAGTAAAACCTATTTTGTAAGTTCACTATAATATGTAATAGAGTATTAGAATTTTAAGACCTTGTCTCGTCGGTAGAGCGCGTCGTCGGCGAGCGGCGACTCGGCGCGGCCCCACTTGTGCTCCCGCAGCTGCCGCCAGAACTGCGGCCAAACGTACACGTCTACATTACTGCACCCTGACAGATGAGAGGGACCTCATCTCGCACTAAATACACCTAAACGATTATTATTATTTTTTTATGGTATAGGGGGCAGACGAGCAGACGGGTCACCTGATGGTAAGTGATTACCGTCGTCCATGGACACCTGCAACACCAGAGGGGCTACAAGCGCGCTGCCGGCTTTTGAGGGAAGGGTTGAGGGGTAGAGGGAAGGGAATAGGGAGGGGTTGGGCCTCCGGTACCCTCACTCACACGACGAAACACAACGCAAGCGTTGCTTCACGTCGGTTTTCTGTGAGGCCGTGGTATCACTCCGGTCGAGCCGGCCCATTCATGCCGTATTAAATCTGATATCTTTGTTATATTCGATCAGTTTTGCATTCACATACTTTAAGAATATTCGATATGTTTGATCAAATATGAATGCACATTTCGACAATATCGTAATAATAAACATCTTATCACCATAGATCGGAGTAGGTAGAGCTATTTCGTGTATTAGCCATATATTAAGGGTATGTTCCGATATACACTGCGACCACTGAACAGTATGACGTCAATTTAGTATACTGGAAGCCCGTTCCTTTATAGCTAGTTATACTGGTGACTTTTTAAAACGGAACGCAGTCCAGTATACTGTTAATCCTATTTTTTGGCGCCATTTTCAAATTTGTTAATGCAAGGTGAATCTATATATATAAAAATGAATCGCAAAATGTGTTGGTAAGCGCATAACTCAACAACGCCTCGACCAATTTGGCCAAATCTTTTTTTAAAATGTTCGTTGAAGTTCAAGGATGGTTTTTACGGAGAGAAAAATTAGAATTATTGCTGGAAAAACCCTAAAAATAGCCCTTTTCTTTTTCCCATACAAATGATTTGTAACTAAAACGTAGTCAATTTGAGCTTTATTGCTATGGTATAAAGTTCATATTAAATTACAAGCACTCACTGTTGTCTAAGCAATGTAGGTGTGTTCCTAACGTCAAAGATCATATCTATCAAAACAATGTGCGTGTGTGCGTTGGAGCACAGAATACATAGTTGGAGGAGTTTAATGTCGCGTTCCGAAACTCGCGTTTCTTTTGTATTAGTTTCGGCACGCGAGATAAAATGCATCAGTTTCCACGTCATTACATCAGTCAAACAAAAATCGCGTTACCAACAGTGTTTTATTATTTTTAATATCCAAATTTTAAATAAATAAAACAATTCGTACGGCTTAAAAGGATTTGACTTCAAGTCATATCAAATTTAAAAAAAAAAGTTGTCTGTGACCTAATCTACTGAGTTTGCTTTTGTCAACTGATACACGAAACAAATTCGTATATCGTGTTTTGTGCAGAGTGTTTACTTAGTTAGTGTTTGTTTAGTTCGTGATTAGTGAAAAAATAATTTATATTTGAAAAAAACTGCCACATTAAAAAACTTTTTGACAGGACGAAGTCTGTCGGGTCAGCTAGTTTAAATATAAAGTTTCCCTCTTTTCAAAAGAAAATATTATAAAATTGGAAAATAAAATTATTTATCAATTAAATCCATCTTATAATAAACGTAAGTATTTTCTTTTTTTTTTGTTTATTTAGAAACTTATCATTTTCTGATTCTGTTTCGAGTGATCACGTGATCAAAAGCACTGCGAGCACCTTAATCTCCAGTGCTCACAGTACAAATATGGCGGCAATTTATGACGTCATAAATTTCTCTAGGGTACTGTAGCAGTGTACTGGCAGTAAGACCACTGCGCAGTGCTCGCAGTGTATATCGGAACATAACCTAAAACAATATGCTGACGTGATTACTGCCCGCCCCGTTACCTGCTGTATGGCGATGTCGTTGGGCGCGCAGGCGGGGCCGCTGCCCGCGACGGTGTGCCGCCGCGTGGCGACGCCGTGCCACCTGCACATCGTATGCGAGTGTTCACTAAACTCTGTTTTTAAACTCGGACACTACATTGACACATGCTAATGTCAATGATACCAGTTTTTTTAAACAATGTTGACCTAAAACCGGTACTTTAGAAAAATCGGTAATATGTTATCGGTATTAGACGACAATCTTAATAATAAAATGCAGGTTCATGATAAAATAAAAATAAAAAACGGAAAATTCAGAACAGTATCAAATATCCTATTAAAAAGAAAACGAGTACACAAACTTAACACTGTAGAGACGTTTAGAATAATAGTGAATTATTGCATCGAGAAAAGTTTATTAGTAGCTAAAACTGTGCGATTATATCCTCAACGAGAAATATGAGTGTTATAGTGTGGTCAGTCTGTCTGTGCCACTCATAGCTCCTGAATGAATGAACCGATTTGAAAATGGTTTTTTAATTAAAGCCTTGTTCATCGCAGTGGTTCTCAGCTTTATTTTATAAAAAATCCAATTAGGAGTTTAAGATAACAAGGGATATTTATTTAATTTGCACTTACAGCATAATAACCTGCTAACAAATGTTTTGTTTAAAGTTTTTATAATAAAAGACTCTTTCGTAAAGATAACGATATTGGAATATATATTTTTTGAAAAAACCACTAAATGATAAAAAAAATCTTGAAAATACAAATAACCATAGAATGAGAATTTTATTTTGCCGAACTTATTTTGGACGACGCTACTTCAATATTCGTTTAATGTAGTGTTCGACCGAATGTTCAGTTTTGATTTCGATCGAGTTTCGGCGGATTTCGCTTTAGTTTCGCTTTCGGTGGCAAACGTGCCCAAACTACGACCGAAACCGAAACTGCATTCGAACGTTCTCAAGCTTAGATCGGTTGGCTTTGTTCGGCGCATTGAATTCCTCCAATCGGTGACGAACACATTTGCCGCGTCTTCGTGGCTAATAATAAGTTTACAAAATGACGAAATAAGATGAAGTTCATTACTTAAATAATAAAACACCATACATGTTGTAATATAAGTAAATTGAATAAATAATTTTATGTTTAATATTTTTTGAATAAATGATTTATATGCTTAGCTTTATGCTTTAAAGATAAAAAAACCCGCTTGCCTAAAAAATAATTATCATCTATCTTCTATCTTGGACACTTGGGACTGCTAAAACAAAACTAACGATACTTCAAATATGTTAATCCGCTTACCAGTAGGTACCTAATAAAGAATAATACATATTATTATTATTCAAAATATGATCCTCTTAAGTGTCAATTTCGGCCGAAACTAAGACTGTTGCCGAAATTCGGTTTCAGTTTTGGTCGTACACTAATGACATGATATGAATCGACATCCAAATAATCAGTTCCCTAGGAACCACGCCGGCAGAGCCGCTGGTGGAAAGCTAGTATTACATAATATTATTCTAATTACTGCTTCTCTGTAAGAGAGGGGAGGGGAGGAGGAGGTATACCTGGCGGGTAAATCTGGCATGGTCGAGTGCGGCGAAGCGGGGGGAGAGAGCGCTTCGCTGTCGGAGGAGGACGCGCGCGCCTCCGCCTCCGCTTCAGCCTCCGCCTCCGCCTCCGCCTTGATCGCAACCTCCCTCGTCACCGGCTCCAGGGTCTTAGCGATAGGATGGATCGTGCGAACGGTCGCGTGAATGCTACCGAATAAACAGGAATACGTATACTATAAATAAAATTGAGACCGAACCGAAGGTTAGATAAGGAAGTTCATCGATCATAGTTTTTCGTGTATCGATCGGTTTATTAAAATGATTTTGAACTTAAAATATAATAATCGGTACACTATTGTCCGACACCCCTTCCTCAGTATAGATAGGTCTCCTTCCAGAACGAGCGGTCCCGCTCTGCTCGAGACCAGCGGTTTCTGCGATCATAATTAGACAGTCGGTTTCTTTAGTCCCTTTGTCCCGCCCCAAGTAACGTTAGTTTCGCACGCAGGACATTTAGGCCCGTCCGCTGCCGTCCTTCTATAGATATCGCCGGACATCGCTCTCAGGGGCTGCCTTTGAACCTGTTCATAATCAGCACTCGGAGGTCATTCTTCGCAATCGGCAAAAGCCGCCGGACGAAGACATTCGTTTCGAGATACTGGGATTCGAACGCGAATATTTTTTGGACTTCCTTCTCAAAGTTTTAACTAGAGAAGGGAACGATCTAGTAGTGGGGTGAAGCGTCAGGAGGGACGTGAAATCCTGAGGTTTAAGTGTGAATTTAGTAGTTGGATAATTTGAATAAAGCCGGATCGGGAACTCAATCTCTCACCTGTGCAGCGCGGGCGCGCGGGCCTTGGCGCGCAGGCGCGGCGGGTGCGCGGCGGGCGGGGGCCGCGGGGCGCGGCGCCGCAGCCGCAGCAACAGGTCGGGGCCCGCCCCCGCGCACGCCGCCCACACGCGCGCCCCGCCCCAGCCGATCACGCAGCGCGAACCCACCTGCACACGATCCGATCGTGAACCGGGGGGGATGATCACCCTTCTGTGCTTATTTTATTTATATTGCTTAAATTTGGAAGAGAACTAAGAAAATAGGGATAACGACAAATTTTTGTTTGTCTGTCGATCTACCTGAGATTGTTGAAAAATATTAAACATCCTCGGTTAAAATGTCACACGACGTCACGTTTTTGTACACTTTCTACAAAACTGGAACGTAGCGACCCCCCTCCCCGCTCCTCGACTTTAATGCATATTATCTATGCTTATTTCTTGTTGAATTGAAGTAAAAAAATATATTTCAACCTTATGCATTCATAAAACGACATTAATTATAGAGGGCCGTCGGGAAAAGTCGTAGCGACGCGGCGACAGAAAATGGCGTTTAATTTTATTTTCAAATCTAACTCATTAAGTATGTAAAATATCTCTATCATCTTTACGAAAATCGTTTGAGTTAGTTTCATTTTTCAATTGTTAGTTACTCGATTACTTAATTACTCAATTGCAGAGAGGACATGATCGTTGATACTTTTAATTTTATTAGAATAGTAACACTGACTTTGACAGTTCGTTTATGTAAAGCGAGTTGCCACCATTTTGGCACGCATTCTGTTCATCACGCTCATCTCATTATATTTTCGCATGAAAAGTGATAAAATGGAATAAATCCACATTGGTATACACGCCTGCAGTGTTATTTTAAAGATGGTCCTCTGATATGGACGATCTATTTGGGCTTCATAATAGCCCCTACTGACTACCCCCCGTCAAGTATATGAATGATACTTTTTTATATATATTTCATGTATATCTATAAAAAACAAAATTTAAAAAACCTTCCACATCTCTATCATATAGAGTTCCTATGAAATATTACACAAAAATATTTAAAAAAATGTGGTATGCGAATAGTGTGTGAAATGTGTATGCATACATGAACATATACGTTATGTAGAACCTCAGAGGTATAATATAAATCGTTTATCTCATATGGTAATAAAAGGTCTAAAAACTATACTATGTAACCTAAACATGTAAGTATTATTTTTAAGCGTCTTCGAAGCAGACGCCTAAGAGTGGAGCGAGAGTTTTTACATCACCTGCACGATCTCGTCCCCTTCGTGCACCTGCCCGGAGGCGTGCGCCGGGGAGCCGAAGCGTATGTCGGCGAGCTGGTGGTGGCCGCAGAAGGAGGGCACCACGTCGAACCCCAGGGGCTTGCCGCCCTGACGCAGCGTCACCGTGTCCAGCGACGCCGGCTGCAATATCATCGGCTCCGTCACCTCCTGGCGAGCAGGCAACGTTTAATAACCTCATTTTCGAAACACTGATAATCTATATTACTTATAAATAACTATAAAAAGACATCGACCCTGTGATCATAGAACTATTCGCTTCACATTTATCATGCGATAACTGTAATCATCCATTTGGATTTTTTAAGATTTTAGTAACAATTCTTCAAAGTAGAAAATTCAACTCGATGCTTAACACCGTCGACAATGGATCCTGCTCGCTCACTTTAGTTTTTTACTATCACTTAAGCATGTTTTCACTAAACTTGGGAGTCGCCCAAATCTGACACATTTAGGCATCGTCTAAGGTGATAATGCGTCGCACAAATGGCAAGAAGCCACCAAACGACTTTATGCAACGCTTATACATAGTCAGGGCATGCGTTGTGCGGCGCCTAGCCAATGCCCGACGGCATTCGCGTAATGTGACATACCTATACATATTTACTCTTTGGCCATAACGAATGTGTCAGGGGATAAAAGTGATTCAATAAATTGAAACCGAGGAGAGTTTCAAATATTAAAAATAAGATATAAATAATGGGTTTTTGTTTTAATTTTTGGAAAAAGATCTGAAAAGCAAATCAAACGTCGGCTATCTAAGCGAGTGCTCAATAAGGCTTTATCTAACGTTCCAGGTTTGGTGAAACGACAAATACGGGATAACATAGCGCTATGGAAATAACCAAGTATAATATCACCTGCACGATGTAGTCGGCGGCGGCAGCGGCGGCGGCGGCGGCGGCGGCGACGGCGCGCGCGGGCTGGTGCGCGAACCGGTCCCGCTGCGCGCACGTGGCCGCCTCCAGCGCCAGCTGCAGCAGCTGCGCCTTGCGCTGCGACAGCGCCGCCCCGCCCCGCACCCCGCCCGCACCCGTCCATCTGCAACGCACTACCCGTACTACCCGCGCTACCCGTGCAGCGGCACATCGGCCAAGAAACTGCTCTACCAGTTCGTAGAGCACAAATTTTATTTTGACCTTTGCTGCCTAAGCGTTAGATAATAAGGTGCAACAACAAATAGTCTTCACGATCTTTCATAAATTTCAAATTTAAGTAGGTCTCTTCAAAGTGGAAACTATTTTGTTACTCACGAAAATTATTTTCCTGTAAAAGAAAATATCACTTGACAATTTATGTCAAATATTTTCTTGGCATTTTCAGTAGGTATTTTCCTAATTCATTTATACAATACCTACAATGCCCCGAAATTTATCCATTAACGAGAGAGCTCAAAAAATAGCATTACCCAATGATGATTTGAATATTAGTGAAATTTCTAGAGAATCAAATGTGTCGGTAAGTATTATGTCTGACGTGAGTATAATATAATGTCTGACGTGAGTTTAATGTGAAATCTCAGACCGAGTCTGAGTGTAAAAATCATTTTTATTTTTTCTGTTCATATTTTATTTTTGATTATAGAGACGAGCTGACCGTCTTTAGATAAGACGAGAAAGCGAAGAAAGGAATGTGAACGCTCGAAATCGTAGCGGTCGTAAACCTGAAATATCAGATACTCAGCGAGTCTTCATGAGACGGAGTTATCAGGAATTTGGCTTTAAACCGACGGGTTATTTTGCCGTGTTTGACGTGGTTCTCCAGACCGTTAGAAACCATTTACATTACATGGGCTTACATAACATGCGTTATGCAAAAAAAAAAATTATATGATTGACGCTCACGGAATGGTCAGATTAAATTTCGCCATAGAATATTTGGATTTTGATCGGAGTAACACCGTGTTCTGTGACGAGAAAACTTTTAAATCCAGTCAACACGGGCGTCTACACCACATCATGGATACACACAAAATCATGTCATGCCAAATAGAGAATCGGGTCGTATCTCTGTAAATTTGTATGGATGGATGACTGCCGATGGTGTTGGGAAACCTTTTTGCCACCACGAGCGACGGCTTCAAATTACACGCGAACTTCAACCTTAGGGTGGTAGATCACTCTCTTGGCCGACCGTACGGCTTCTTCGATCGCGATCATTGAAACAAAAATAAAGCGAAGATATCCATGAGATATCCTGGACGAGCTGTCAAAAATTGCGCGCTACCTGGGTGCAATTTGCAAAACCGTCATTTTGACCCTACTCAGCTACCCTCCTGTAGTATTACCGCGCATATCTCGCTTGCTGCCGGTGAGCCCTCAATGCGGTCGATCCCGTACCTGTCGAGCCAGCAGACCAGCGGTTTGACGGCGCGCACGGTGGCGGCCACGTCGGCCAGCGCCTGCGTGTCGAGGCGCGCGTCGGGCGCGCGGCGCAGCGCCCGCGCCACGCCCGTCGCCGCCGCCGACACGCGCGCCGCCAGCTGCTGCACGCACTCCCGCCGCGCCTCGTACTGCTGCAATTGTATTTACTATTAACTGCACATTAAAGACGGACCTAAGAGAAATTATCAGTGTTAAAAATCAGTTGAAAAACTGATTATTAATCAAAAATATAAAAAAAAAACATTGTTATTATGTTTGATTAATTCCACTCACTTAGCTACTACTCATACTACCTGTACTCAAAAACTGTTACTGAAAAATGCTTAAAACATCCACTTTGTCCTTTTTATTTCCTTTTACCTTTCGTGCAGACTTTTTTTTAATGAGGATGTGAGTTGCTGAAATATTTCGAATACCGAGATCTAAATATGCCCGTAAGTTTTACCTACAGCAAATTCTTTTATTATTACACCAAATTTTATGTTAAGTGTTTTCTGTATATATTTGTGTAAGAAAGTTATAGATCAGGTTTAGTTAATAATTTATTAGTAGTCGATATTGTTACTTCACTAAGGGCCGGTTTTTTTATCCGTAGTCAAATGCCATTTCACCATTTGTTAACCTGACCACAGTTAACCAGTTGTTAACCCGCTATTTCATTACCAAACCTGTGGAGTTGTATGGTTGTTGTGTTGTATGCACCTTTTTCAGGAAATTTTGGAATTAAGCCTTAACTTTTTTTAAGGATATTTTTTATTTTTTTATATCTTATCTTTATCTATGTCCAAGCTGAGAATGTAATATTGAAAACTAAATAAACTAATATATATATTATATACTGTAGGCATATTTACCTTTTGTATTGTCTATTCGTGGATATTTTACAATTTAATAATTTGACATGCCCTTGAAAATAAGAAAACAAATTATTTTATATAATACAAATATACTAAGGATGATCAAGATAAAAATATAACTTATTTTCAATAACCGTATAACCAAAAAATGACAATGAATATTTTTACAATTTTCATAAAACGAAATCCCAAAAATAACTAATGTCCAAATTCACTATGAATCATGTACATTATAAAAACAACACAATTGTACATATGTTCTTTTAATCATTGGTCATTTGCTTGACCTTGCTTAACCAGTCATGGTCAAATTTTTTGACCAATAGTTGGAATTCCGACAATTAGTTAGGCTAACTATTGATCAAAAAACTGGTCCTTAAAGTTAAAGTAGTGTCAAAGCTTGTTACATAAACGAATATAGTTTAATATCTTTCCTTGCTCGTTACAGATTTCAATGTGAACAGTTTGTCGCGTTTTAATAAATTCAGCGTACAGCCAAACAAAACCTACCAACCAAAAAACTATTACAATCAATATTACATTTTTGACTAAAATATTTGTGGATAAGAAGACTTTCAAATCAATGGTCAAAAAAATGTTATATAATAAAAAACGTCAACTCGTTATCTGTAGGTTATTTTTAATCAACTAAAATTATTATCGTTTTTAATGTTTGAGTTGAAGTAATAAAAATAATTACACAAACTGAAAATTTAATAAAATAATAATTATAAATAAGTAACTGTTTTCTTTTAATAGTTAAAGTATTTTAGTTACCGACGAATTTTACGCCATAAATATATTCCATATTTAGTTTTGTTTTTATATATAGTTTTGTCACCTTTCTATACAAAATCTGTAAAATGGTGTGTTTCTGTATGTGTTAAAAAAAAACTCGTTGAATATTATTTTTGACCCATGGACCAAAGATCTTGTATCAAATCAAACAAGCCCAAAGTAAACGGGGTTGAGGTAATTAATAGGAAAGTTCCAAGGATACAGCCAGAAAAGGCGCAAAGAAATCGAAAATAGTAATCTCTCTTGTTAGAACGACATATGTACGGTCGGCCAAGAAAGTGGTCTACCAGTTTTGACAACATTTCCCGTGTCTTTAAAGCATCGCTAAAGGCGAATCTTAGAATTGCATACAAACAATAAAAGAGATGCACAATGCTGACGTGTTGTCGTAGAGCACAAATGTTATTTTGACGTTTGCAGCCTATGCATTAGATAATAATTTGCAACAACAAATAGTCTTCACAATATTTCATAAATTTAAAATTTAAGTAGATCACTTCAAAGTGGAAACTATTTTGTTACGAAAACTCTTTTACTGAAAAAGAATATATCACTTGACAATTCATGTCAAATATTTTCTCGGCATTTTCCGTAGGTATTTTCCTAATTAATTTACACTACAATGCCCCGAAATTTATCCATTAACGAAAGAGCACAAATAATCGCATTACACAATGATGGTTTGAATATTAGTGAGATTTCTAGAGAATTAAATGTGTCGGTAAGTATTATTATGTCTGACGTGAGTTTAATGTAAAATCTCAGACCAAGTCCGAGTGTAAATTTTTTTTTTTATTTTTTCTGTTCATATTTTATTTTTGATTATAGAGACAAGCTGTCCGTCTTTGGATAAGACGAGAATTTGAACGCTCGGAGTCGTAGCGGTCGTAGACCTGAAATATCAGATACTCAGCGAGTCTTCATGAGACGGAGTTACGAGAAATCTGGCTTTATGCCGACGCGTTATTTTGCCGACATATTTGACGTGACTCTCCAAACCATTAGAAACCATTTACATTACATGGGCTTCAGATTAAATTTCGCCATAGAATATTTGGATTTTGATTGGAGTAACACTGTTTTCTGTGACGAGAAAACTTTTAAATCCAGTCAACACGGGCGTCTACACCTTTGGCGATTCAATAAAACGCGATACACGCAAAATCATGTCGTGCCAAATAGAGAATCGGGTCGTATCTCGGTAAATTTGTATGGATGGATGACTGCTGATGGTGTTGGAGACTTGACCTTTTTGCCACCACGAGCAACGGCATCAGATTATGTTGATGTTCTCCAAAATGCTATGTTGCCATCGGTCCGGAACGTTTATCCAGAAAATGAAATGCGTCAATTTAATTATTTACAGGATAACTGTCCCTTACATAAAGCAAGGGTAACACGTGCTTGGTTTGATGCACATCCGGAAATAAACTTGATACCATGGCCTGCAAAATCGCCAGATCTCAAACCTATTGAAAATATGTGGGGTCTTATGGTTCAGAGATGGTGTAACCGTAATGAACGAACAGCAGAAGCACTACAAGGGCACTGCAATGAGGTTTGGGAGGAAACACGTGGGTCTGATATCTGCTCAAGACTGGTGGGCTCGATGAGGGAACGTCTCCAAGCTGTTATAGAGGCAGATGGCGGCTACACAAGATTTTAAGAATTATAATTTTATAAAAGAATTGTATACATTTTTTAACAACCAAAGAATTAGCATTTTCACTATCTCTTCTAGTTTTAGCCTTTGTCTCGCACTAAGCTATGGGTCGGCGCAATATGTTTTTCATAGCTATTCATTTCTGTTATCCGTTATCTCAGTATATTCAGACCTATAACACGCATAGCTTCTTACGCATAGCATTTCACTACCTGCTGATTTTTTTATTTGTATTAAAATATAATTAATCTACATTCCAATGTAGGATATTTGTAGACTATAAGACTTTATTTACGATATTCTAACTCTAAAGTATTTAAACATACAAACAGACAGACAGAAAAAATAATATTTGTGGCTTCTATTAGTCTTATGAAGGCCGTCCATATATTTTTTTCATATATTTTGTCCATATATTTTGTTACATTTTTATTATAGGTATAGATAATTACTGTCAAAGGTTACGTCAAAATGATGAAGATAGCAATAATGACGTGTACTTGACGTGTCAAAAAATTAATGCTAAGGAAAGTCAACCTTGTTGTTAGTTGACGTAACACGCGAAATTCAACCTTAGGGTGGTAGACCACTTTCTTGGCCGGCTGTACCTGTCAACTACAATCTCCCCCAGTCGAAGAATACGATGCACGAGTTTTTTTTATGGGATAGGGGGCAGACGAGCAGTCGGATCACCTGATGGTAAGTGATAACCGTCGCCAGTGGACACCTGCAACACCAGAGGGGCTACAAGCGCGCTGCCGGCCTTTGAGGGACGAATATGCTCTACGCTTGAAAGTTTGAAGGTCGTATCGGTCCGGAAATACCGCTGGCGACAAACTGTTCCAGAGTTTGAATGTGCGAGGCAGGAAAATTCCAGAAAAACGCACAGTTGAGGACTTCCAAAACGGCCGTGTTCAATGACGTTTTACTATTTTTATTAAAATAAAAATGTGTAAGTACAGTACTTACGCATGATATGATATATCTTTTTTTGCTTTTCTCATTGTGAATGTGTAATATATGCATTATAGATACATAGATGCTGTTTAGAAACAGGAAGTCATATTTTCTATAACTTTTCACAGAAAAATGCGAGTGAAAATGACATTAGCCACAAAACGCTTCCTGAAACGTGACTAAAGTGAAACTCAGGCAATTGCCTTGCTTTCTTGCGCGCGATAACCCATCTAAACTTTTTAATACAAGCTCAAAATAGACACGGAGAGAAACGTCTCCATTTCAAAAATGATTACAATAACTAATTATGACAGTAATCAGAAGCTCATTAATACTTTATAGATAATGTCACAGAAATAAGTATCACACAACATCCCTTGTATAAATGGCGCATAATCATACTAATATTATAAAGGCGAAAGGTGTTACTTCTTCACGCAAAAACTACTGGACGGATTTTGATGAAATTTGGCAATTCTTAGTCTGAAAATCACATATAGGATACTTTTTATCCCACTAAAAGGTTCCCTAGGGATAAAAGTACCTCCAAGGGTGTTTATTCTTGTAGACGCTACCGAAAAGGTAAGGTAATATACGAATACTTTGTAAAAAAGCTGAAAAAGTAGGTATAAATCTATGTAAGCTAAGTTTTTACCACTAAATCCTTATCGAAACTTTATGTAAATAAAAATTGTCTTTCATACCAACTAAATTGGACGAATAGTTTAGAATGTACTACCATGTTTTTGAGAAAAGAAAATAACATATATTGCCGATTTTCTAAATACTATTTCGTGTGCATGTGTAGTATATTATGTTTTAACAGCATTTTTTATGTATTCACTAACATTTAAGTTAATAAAGACTGTAGTAATTATCTAACTGTATACTAATATAAATAATGACAGCAACGATGATTAAGTAAGCGTTCAGTATCAAGAAACACCTATTCAAGGGGAGATTGGCAGTCTACATACCCAAGAAAATTATCCGGAGTAGTGTAGGGCTTATGTAGTATTGGAAAAGAATGAAAAATATTAGCTGGACAGAATTACACAGAATTGATTTAAGAGCTGGGGTTCACCAATGAAAAGAGACTGCTGTTAGGGCTACCGTGTAACTACATTGACTTCCATATGGTTGATATTGGATTACACTAAATGAATATAATCTGTGAAAATTGCAATTATCTATCACCGTTCATGAGATCTACATGCAACCTGGTGACAGACAGAGACAGACAGCAGAGTGACAGGCAGAAGAGTCTTAGTAATAAGGTCCCTTTTTTACCCTTGCAACAGTGCGACTTCAATACTGATTGTTTTGTCCTAGGTTTCCGCATCCTAACTTTTTTTCTTTGATCTTTAACATAATTTATGTTTTATTAATCATTTTTCATAATTTGATATTTTGAGTGATATGATATGCTCTCTCTGAATGTCAGTTCGTAAAAATATCTACTGGCAACAACACGATCATCATTGAAAATGAATAAAATATTTCTAGTATATACATTCAAAATCTATACTGTGATTTACAAGTTGTGAATCTATGAAGTGTATGTATATAAATTTAGATTGTATCATATATAAATCCAAGGAAGATGTATGTAATTGTTTCTACTACTTATCATATTTTTATAAAATTATAGGATCTGTTTTTATATTCACCTATGATTGTTGTTACAGTTTTTATTTACACTATAAATTTACCAACTTATTAAGCATAGTCAGCCGCTTCATTAATTAACTCATGGTGTAAAAACAATAATCTGTCGATTAATGCAGGCAAAACCGTGGTCGTCCCATTCACAAGGAAACGAAAGCTGGACAAGCTTTCGCCTCCGACCATGAATGGGAGGCTCATTCCGTTCTCGACAGAGGTCAAGTATCTGGGGGTAACACTGGACCAGAAACTTACCTGGAACGCACACGTAGACGGAATTATACAGAAGTCTAAAACAGCTCTGATGATATGTTGTCGGCTAGCGGGAAATAGATGGGGCTTGAAACCCAATATAGCCCTCTGGCTCTACACAGCCATCATAAGGCCGATGGTGTCTTACGCCTCGGTGGTTTGGAGTAGAAAAACGACACAGAGTACTATCATATCAAGACTTAACAGTCTGCAAAGGACTGCTTGTCTTATAGTAACAGGAGCTATGTCTTCCACCCCGACTGCAGCCCTTGAGGCTCTGCTAAACCTGCCGCCCCTACATTTACACATTGAAATGGTGGCGAGGGCTAGCATGTACAGGATTACTAGCATGGAGGCGAAGACATGGCTGTCAGGTAATTTGAGGTACCTGAAGGACTCAATATGCAATATACCAATCCTGGGGATGCCTACTGACACCATGCCCCCGAGAATCGATTCACACAGGTCATATCTTGTGGAGATACCCACCAGGGACGACTGGTCAAACAATCGTATAGTATGGAAAAATGGAAGCCTAAAGTGGTACACTGACGGCTCCAAATCCGGTCCTGAGGTAGGATGTGGAATTCATGGAGAAGCCCCAAGGAAGGCTATAAGTCTGAACATGGGAAAGTACTCCTCAATATTCCAGGCAGAGGTGTACGCCATTTTGGAATGTGCGGCAGCCAATCTGCAAAATAACTACCTCAATCATACTATCTACATCCACTCTGATAGTCAAGCTGCACTCTTAGCACTAGCTTCCGACATAACTAGATCGAAGCTGGTCGAGAACTGCAAACAGACACTGAACTCTTTGGGCAACAACAACAAAGTAGTTCTACGATGGGTTCCAGGGCACGCTGGACACGAGGGCAATGAACAGGCGGACAAACTGGCGAAAAAGGGTGCTAAAGACGCCCTTATCGGACCAGAACCTTTCTGTGGCATCCCTCAAAGCCTAACCCAGCTCACCTTGAAAACTTACTGCCACTACGCAGCTATTCAACTATGGAGAAACACTCCCGGTATGAAACACTCTAAGACCCTGATTAAAACCTTCAACAAAAAGGCGGCATCAGAGGCCTTAAACTTAACCAAAACTCACCTTCGCACACTAGTATGAGCACTCACAGGGCATTGTGGACTGAACAGACACATGCACAATATGGGGATCAGCGACAGTAGAATGTGCAGAGGATGCAAGGAGGAAGAAGAAACACCTATGCACATTTTGACCGATTGCCCGTTACTAATGCGAAAACGATGTATCTATCTGGGAAAGCACGTGATGCACCCAGACGATATTAAAGAACTTACGGCCAAGAAAATACTACAGTTCCTTGTAGAATGTAATCTTGACCGTGAACTGTAGTATGTGGAGATCACAATAGATCAGCAATGGTCGCAGTGATACTGGGCTGCATAAACCCAAGATAATCCGCAACTCGAAACAATACAATAGTCAGCCGCTACATTTTCCAACCAACAACTAGCACCAAACCCATCACACATTTTAGCTATGGAATTCTAAAATAAATTTCATTACAAAAATATTTGCTAAATCGTACTATACTATTACATTCCATTGATAAAGCAGATTACTACTATTCACATTTTTTTATAGTCTTCCTCCTCAAAATAGCTTAAATCCCCTATTTTTAATTATGTTATTTAAAAATAGATATTTTTTTTTCACTTCTATATAATTATGTCATACTTGACTAATGGGTTAAGGGCTTAAAAGATAATTTTATGGTAGTTAACAGAAAAACCATCACTCGAAATACCATATTAAAATTAATTAATCCCAGGAATACCTTCAATACCAACCTTTACTTCGGCATTAAGCTTGAGACTTACTTAACTATGTAATATTATCTTTAATCACATATGGAAACAATAAACTTATTGAGTATTGGGATAGGTTTACCAAGAGTTGTGATATTTTTACAACTTTACCTGTTTTATCAGAGAAATGGAACCCTTTGATAGTTAACTATCCTTACTAATAATAGAAAAGCAAAGGTAACTGGGTCTGAAACCATTTAGATGTTATTTTGTATTAAAAGTATCAGACACTAAATAAGGTATAAAGTAGATTTCTAACTGGAATCCTATGAAGGGATGAAAATGTGGGTAGCTTATCTTATGGAGAATTATTCATTTACTTACTTTCTTACTAAAAATTAGTTTTTATATCAATTTAAGAAGAATGTAAATTTGAAGAAAACTTTTGAAAATCTAATAACAATTCTTATACATCTGTTTCTTTTTAAAAATAAAAATTGAATTTACAATTCCTTTGTAGCAACCACATCATCCAGATATTTTAGGCGATGTAGCTGTCCCAGTACTGATTTAATTTCAACAGTTTTAATGGGATCATTTTAAGAATATACTCTTTCAAAGAAAAAAACATGCAACTAGTATACAAGAATACAGTCAAATTGAAAATCTGTCATGTTTATGAAGTTAATTAAAAATAAACTCCTGTAATATAATACTTATACCACGCAAACAAAGTTGAAGGCAAAAGCTAGTACCACTATATTCTGGGATGAAATCAAATTTCTAATATTATAATGAACTTAATAATATGCATACACTTTACAACAATCAATTTACTAATATCAGCAGAATTTTTACGCTTCTAACATTAATGATTATAATTTTTTGTGGTGGTATTGCTCTAAAAGAGCATTAAACAGCTAATACAGCGTGTACTTACAAAGTTTCTCAGATGTTCAACTGCTTCTAATAGTAGTTCTTGGTGGCCAATAACATGCATTCCAAGGTACTCTAGGTCATCGCAGCGGAGCATGAGAAGCTTGGTGCCATTTAGTCCACGCTCCCGCAGCCCCGGAGCATAACGCGCCACTGTCGGCTCCAACCCTGCAAAACGACACCACTGTGACTCATCCGGCTCATCAGATCACACCACCACTTACATTCAATACACCGACCTGACAACCACTCTGCAACTTGGTCTGGAGACCATTCCGCTACATTCAAACTAGCCATTCATATGAACCACGCGCATGTTTTGCGCACTCGCTTTTGGTTTGTTTTTTTTTTATGAAAGTTAGAATTTAGAATGAAAAATTAAGAGATGGTTCAGAACAACAACACAAGCCACAGATAATCTACCTAACTGTCACATTGTGAACTAGGAGTGCGAAAACATTTCGATATATCGATTAATTATTTGAGCATATCGATTCTTATAGCGATAAAATAATCTATAAAACAAAAATAAAGGAACTACAAAAAATTATGTCACTAGATGGCAGCACCAATTGTAGGGTATAAAAGTCAATTCATGACGTTAGACCAAGAATTGTCAATGTTGTTATGGATGAGATAACTCCGATTAATAAGTTGATATCCATTTAGTTCGAGTTATGTTTTGAGTTTATAAACGCAATTCGATTAATACGAACATGAATTAAAAACATTGGCTAAATTACTTTTAAAGTGAAGCCGAAAGATAAGCAATGGCATACCAAGATGGAATATCGTATCATAGCCGCATAAATTTTAAAAATATTTCGTTATCAATGATTTAAAAATACAATAAAAATTTATTGTTTTAAAAAACACATTTGAGTTGTCGAACGATCCATTTTATTTGATTCGATTAAACAGACTGTTTAAAGTGCCGATTGTCTAACTCGGACAAAACATGCGCTAGCAGCGAGGGGACACGACATTCACCGACATTTTAAAGGCCGCTTCTTTCCGGCAATTTGCTGTATAAGTATAATGCGTCATGAGTGACAAAATGTAAAGTTCTTTTCGTGGACAAGATATCTTGGGCTCCCTTTTCCCTGTTAAAATATTGCTATGAAATAATTAAAAGTAGCATTTAGCTACGATATATAATAATATTACGATGAAATAGTTTTTATAAATAAAATACTTATGCCATAGCAGGTCTTGAAATTTTTCATTTTAATATTTAACAAAAGTTCTGAAAACATAACAACTACGTAAGTTAGTTTTGTAACTCTTAGTTGTTAGTTGAACTAACAGCAACAAAACTACATCAAGACTCGATAAATGTTTTTATATTAGACGTGGTGAATGAATAAAGATCATCATAAAAACAATAATAATAATTAAAAAAAAAACAGTTTTTTTATCTATATACTACCCAACATATATCAAATAAACTAGATAATCATACGGAACGAACTAACATAATTTCCGGTTAGTATGACATTTATTCAAAATATGTGTGCAAACAAGTTGTCCTTTTAAACTAAAGAATATTTAATTTATAAAATAATCTAAGATAAGTTTGACATATGCAAGGAAAAACGTTGTTACTCAGTTTTAGACGTTTCAGAGGTGAGCATGTTAAAGATTTAGAAAATCTTACTAATTTCGGTTAAGTCCTAATGCCAACCGATCTTTAAATCGAAGTCAGTTTTGTCTACCTATACTATTATACCATATCTGTTGTATGAATTTATGTGTATATTGATTTATGTTTTTCTGGGTTACAGTCATAATCTTTTACAGATCTTTTATAAATTGTATATCTGAGATACAATTTGTATTTTTTATTTTTTATTTACTTCTTTTAATGTTACAATGGAAAACAAAATTAATTTTTTATAATTAAAAGCCTTTTTCAACTTTCTGAAAATTTACGATAAAAAATCAAAATTCTTTGATTTATCATAAAAATTATGAGTTAAATCAATATAAATTATGAATTTAAATATCATTAAATATATCGAATGTTATTTTAAGTAAATTAAATATATATTGTTACTCTAATTTGTCATTTCAAGCCAAAGGATTCTATATATACTTAGACGTCTTTGATTCAAGTTTATGTTACAAGACTAATTATTATAATTTTTTCCGTGTACCTGAATGTTTACAAATAAATTGATAATTTTCTAAAGATATATGTAATAAAATAACGAACACAAAGTTATTATATAAATATAACAATATTCTGGCGATTATTAATAAAGATTTCAATAATTTGTAAATAATTTTATCTATTCCTTTTTTTGCTATCTATGCTTTCTATTCATATGATGTCACGAGGGTGTTATTTAGATAAGGCGTTAGATATTTTATTTGCTTTAGTTCTCTAAAAAAAAATATCGATTTATTTACCGATATTCATTTTTCAGTTCGTATCCCTATTGAGAACTGTCAAACTGACAACACAACCACAGAATATTCTGTTATTGTAACGACAACAAAGGAATTTAACTTATACATACCAAGAAAACCTCTACAATGTATTCGTAATGCTGAAGACTGCACCAAGTGTAAGCTCATCATTAAGCGGATTAATGTTTTAATTATTATGAATAATAACTCCATTTTTATGGAATGATATAAAAATACATGACAAATATAAACTTTTATTGATATAGTTTCAGAAACAAAGAACTTTCATAAAGATGTGTTATCTCGTTTAATCTCCTTCGGAGTATGATATAGCATTCAATCAAGTTACAATAGAATCAAATCCAAAATAATTTAATCAGTCTATGCTGTTATTAGTACTTTGGTAATTCGAAACCTTGACAGTTGGCGTGATTTGTGTCTAATTCTATGATTTTATCGCAGATCAAAGCTATAGCAGAAGGACGTGCTGGAAGGAAGTGACCAAATAATTAAACTACGAGAATCGCACTTTTTAACGAGTTTCAACTGAGCATAAGTCAAAAATTATTTACATACTTAAATGTTGCCACTCATTTTTTGGTCCAACTAATTAAGTGATCTCAAAATCTTCTGGTTAGGAAGTCAAAATATTTTATAATTTTAAGATAAATAAGATTGGCAGGCGACAAGTCTGATCCCAGTAATTTCAGACCAATTTCTATATTACCAGTGTTAAGTAAAGTATTTGAGAAAATTATTTACAATCAATTGCTTGCACACTTTTCATTAAATAAATTACTTCACTAAAATCAGTTTGGCTTTAGCAGAGGTAAATGTACCACAGACGCTGGAATTGCACTTCTGAGGCATATCTATGATGCTTGGGAGAATAAACAAGAAGCTATTGGCATTTTTTGCGATCTATCGAAAGCATTCGACTGCGTTAGTCATGAAACACTGTTGGGGAAATTAGAGTATTATGGTGTGACGAAAAATTCACTTAATCTAATAAAATCATATCTTTCTGTTAGAATTCAAAAAGTAGTAATTAATGAAGCGAAATCTGCAGGGGCACCAGTTACTATGGGCGTACCTCAGGGATCGGTATTAGGACCATTGCTTTTTCTAATTTATATTAATGATCTTCCTCACTTTACGAAGAATTTGTGCGAGACAGTATTTGCAGATAACACCTCTTTACTGTTTAAAGTTGAGATGGGTAATGATTGTTTGACGATGTAAATAATGCTCTCGACAATGTTCTACAGTGGTTTGATAATAATAATTTAAAGCTCAATTCAAATAAAACGAAATGCATAAAGTTTGCATTACCTAATGTGAGGCATGTCAGTACATTTATAAATGTAAATAGTGAAAAAGTTGAGTTAGTAGAATCGACAAAGTTCCTTGGTATTACACTAGATTCCCGACTGCAATGGGATCCTCATATTGATAGCTTGTCAAGTAGACTGAGTTCTGCAACTTTTACTGTTAAGAAAATTAGACTCTTGACATGGCATGTTGAAACGGCAAGATTGGTATATTTTAGTTATTTTCATAGTGTAATGACGTGTGGTATATTGTTGTGGGGTTCTGCGGCTAGCATTCAGGATATTTTTATTCTACAAAAGAGAACTGTCCGTGCTATATATAATTTACGGTCTAGGGAATCTCTCAGAGAAATATTTAAAGAAATAAATATTCTGACTGTTGCCTCTCAATACATCTATGAGAATATTATGTACACAAGAAAACATTACGATTCCTTCACAAAAAAAGTAGTGTTCATAATCTTAACATAAGAAATAAAAATAAAATTGCCGTTCCAAGCTTCAGGCTTCAAAAAACCAGGGGATCATTTCTGGGTAAATGTATTGCTATGTTCAATAAAGTTCCACAAAATGTAATTGACCTACCCATAAATAAATTTCAAATTCATGTAAAGAATATACTTATGAGTAAAGGTTATTATAAAGTTGATGATTATTTTAAGGATCGCAATGCATGGAATTGATAGCCTTCGCTTTGTTCTATAAAGACTAATTATATATTCAACCTATGTCCAACAGACTTTGAAAGTTGTATTTATTATTGTGATAATACATTTTATTTTGGTAATAACATGATTTATGTAAATGTCAACATTACTTACGATAAAAAGCTGGTAAGTTTCTTTCGCTTATTCTTCTTGTCAGCTAAAAGACGTCCTGAACAAGTGGTAGGGGAAAAAAATTTTTTGGACGATTCAAAAGTGCTTGTAATAGCCTACTTGAATAAAGATATTTTCATTTCATTTCATTTCATTAGAAATAGAAGATATTTGTTTCTACTTATAAGTGACATTTAGGTACATTTGTCTTTTGATAATAAAGCCTGTAAATTGGACTTGAACATCGTCGTCTACTCCTTATCTCCGAAATTACTGGGCCTAAGATAAAAAAATATACCCACTAACACAGAAAATAGATCTTATCTCTGGATTAAAAATTACAAATTTTAGCTAAAAACAGAAATCTATCACATATAGAATTAGTATAGAAGTAAAAAAGATCGCATATAATTAAGTACAATAAAATGAATAGAGACTACACTACTTACACTGAAAAAATATGTAAAAACTTAATAAAAGCATATCTATCTTTTGATGCTTATTGCTTCGGTAGTGTTAAAAAGATCGCCGTTTACCCATTACGATAGTATAGACACGCACGTCATAGAAATGAATTCTCTACTTAGGGGTTAGCGTTTTAATGGATTGAACCTGAATTGTTTTTGTGGGACTCTAAGAGTGCGCTTTGACAGAAGTCGGTCAATCGACAGCACCACAAGCATTTTTTGCTAGAAAAACCAAATCATCAATCTCACGGCTACTTTCTAAAGGTGATGCCTCTTGCAAAGTCACTTACAACGACTCAATTCATATCGATGTTTGATACCAAAGTAAAGTTATTTAATGAATGGGTGCTATTGAAAGAACCAACCTTAGTATG